ACGCGGGCGGGGGCTCGAAAACTTCCCCCGCGTAGCTGGGCGTGGGGGCCTCTCCCGTGCTCCTTCGCGGCGTCGGTAAGCGACGGATCCGCCGCCGGGCGGAGCGAGGAGAGGGTCGCGCCTCTCTGGGCCACAGCCGGCGGGGACCTGTGCTGGCCTAGACGTGGCACGGGCCTCCCGCTGTCGGAACGAAACGCCCCGGGCCTCCCTCGAGGGCCTCTCGGTTCCCTTTGGGGGCGTTTTCTTGCTCGCGGCGTTAATCTGGCGTCCTTCCGCCTCGCGCAGGGGCTGCACAGCGCCAGCATCCCGGGGATCCTTGCCTTGGACCTCTGTCCTTCCGACACCAACAAGATCCTCACCGGTAAGGGAGCCGCCTCGGCTTGCTGGGGACTGGGTGGTGTCGGCTAAGGGCCTGCAAGCTGCCCGGGAGCAGGTCCCTTCCTCTGTGCTTTTTGGGTTTTTTTGGGGGGGGGGGGGGCTAGAGGTGGGGGCAAGGGACGTGAGGGATTCTCTCGCCTCGTGGCAAAGCTTCTCGGGACGCTGGTCCCCGGGAAAGCTGGGCGGACTTGGACTTGGTTGGCCGCAGACTCCCGTCTCTTCCCCGCTCCCCGCTTTGTTTTCCAGGCGGGGCTGATAAAAACGTCATCGTCTTCGACAAGAGCTCGGAGCAGATCCTGGCGACGCTCAAGGGGCACTCCAAGAAGGTTACCAGTGTCGTCTTCCACCCCTCTCAGGTGCGCTCAGGCCCGCGTTCGGCCTCTTCCCTCGCAGCCACGTTGCCCCGTATCTGGCTTTTTGGGCCGCCTTCTGGTGCTCTGTTCTGCCGGGGTCTCCGCCTCGTGCAGACTGGCGACGGGGGCAGGTTCTCGCCTGCGGGGAGCTCTCTCAGACGGAGAGGCGAAGCTCTTTTGATCTTAACTTTCCCGCCTCGTCCCCGTTTTTAGGATTTGGTGTTCTCAGCTTCTCCCGACGCTACTATCCGGATCTGGTCTGTGCCCAACGCCTCGTGCGTGCAGGTCGTCCGTGCCCACGAGGGCTCTGTGACGGGGCTGAGCCTCCACGCGACAGGCGACTACCTCCTCAGCTCTTCTGATGACCAGGTGAGACCCAACC